CTAGGCCTGGGTGGCAAGCCAAGGGCGGGTCTGACGCGCACGCAGCAACTGGCGCCTGGCCGAGGGCAGCTGGCCCCCACAGCAAAAAGTCAGGCGCGGGCGGCAGCGTAGCAGCACGCGGGGCGACCCCAGCACCGCCACCCAAGCCTACAAGCGCAAGAAGGCGCGAGATGATGCCAGGATGGCAGGCCAAAATGGCCAGGCGCCCGACGGCGACGCTGCAGTACACGGGGCTGCCCCAGCACCGCCAGCGAGGCCAACGAGCGCAAGTGAACGTGAGGAGGCCGAGATGGCAAGCCAGTTGGCGAGCCAAGGTGGCAGAGCGCACGGGTAGCCATCCGCCTAGCCTAGGTAGGCACAGGCTGCAGGTGACGCCACGCGGGTGGGGGCGCCGCTATGGGCCAGCCGCATTACAGAAAGCAACAAGTAGACAATTTGGCATGTACCCACGCGGCCTGTCAAGGCCCTGGAACCTGCTGGGCATTATCCCTCAGGCCTGCTGGCCTGTTCCCTGCGCGATGGCGGCGAAGACCTGCGACGGCAGCGCCCGCGCCTCCCCGCCGAGGTCGCCACTGCCCCCCGCCTGCCCTGCGGGCCCACAGATCTGGCGCTCGAGGTCTTCACCGAGGGCCACGTTCAGGGCTGCAGCGCTTGCGACCTGCTGCGGGAGCACGTCCGTCTGCGGTGGCGGGTGGGTCGGCGGCGGCGGCACATCAGGGGGCGCCGTCGGCGGCGGCGGCGGGGGGGCCATGATGGCCACGGCCTCTGGCGGGACTCCCGCTGGCGGTGGCGGCGGGTCCTCGCTGCCGCGGGCCCCGCTCGCTGGCGGGGCACTGGCGCTGCGAGCGGGGGCGGCGCGCGGGGCGACCCCTGTGCCACGCCCGCCGCCCGAGAGGCTGCCCGCCTTCAGGTTGTGGCGCGCTCGTAGAGCGCCAGCTCCCTGTGCGCCATCTCCAGGCGCTCCCTCTTGGCTTTGTTCCGCGTCTTCTTGCTGTGCCCCGCCCATTCAGGGTCGTTCAGCCCCCGGGCGGCCTGCGCGTAGAGGTCGGCCCACTCGAACGTGGGCAAGCTCTCCCAGGTGAGCCCCTCCATCAGCACATAGTGGCCCTCCCACTGCGCCTGTCGTGGAGCATAGCGCTCGAAGACGGTGCCAACCGCCAGCGGCTCAACCTTGAGCAGGTACTTCAGGAGGTCAACCGCGCTGATCACTGAGATCCCCTCCTTCTTGAGCTTGTCGTAGCGCAGCAGGGCCTTCAGGTCGCGGATGCCCTCCTCGGGATGCTCCGCGTGCACGTAGTACGCGCGTGGCGGGTTCGCCTCCTCCTCTATGAACTCGACGCAGACTCCGTAGGAGTTCGAGTAGCGCGCCCCGCAGTGGCAGTGCCAGCGCTGGCCCGTCTCTCCCGCTGCCTCCTGGGCACATGAGAGCAGCTGTGACCAGCGATCCGATCGGATCACCGAACAGCATCCCCTGGGATTATCCCAGGACTTGTTGGCCGCGCATTTGTAGTGCATGTTGAACTTGAAGCCCTTGTCCCGGTAAAACTGGTCCGTGTAGTCGCCCATGCGGCGGTAGGCCTCCTGCGCCGCGGCGTTACCCTGGCACCCCTCCTTCCAGGCACGTTTGTGTCCCAGGTGGGCGTCTGCAATCCCCGAGGCTTCCAGGACACCCCTCTTCAGCCTTCCAACATACTCCTCCGCCTCCTCCTCCAGCGCGTCGAGCCACTTCTGGACTCCGTCCTGCGCCTCGGTGCCCCTCACCATGTCCTCCATATTCTCCAGGATGGCCCCCAGGCCGCCCAGCATGCGGGCGCGCATGGTCTCGAATTTGAGGACGCCATAGGCCCGCGCCATGCGCTTCAGCGACTTCTTGGATAGGCCGAGCCGCAGCAAGGGCTCGATGTCCGTTACCTCCTTCACGGTCTGGGCCTCGGTCAGCTGGGGCACCTGGTCCTCCGCGCCCATGTCGGGCCGAGGGTCGTTCTCCTCATCACTGGGAGGTTATTCCTCGAGGGGCGGGGGTGGCGCACGGGGCGGCCCTGGCACCGCCCCCGCCTCCCTCGCCATTGGGCGGCCCACCTCCCTCGCCACTTCTTCCGAGGCTGGGGGGGCGCCTGTACTCTCGGGGTCGATGCCCACCCCCACGCCTTCCGTTGACCTCCGCAGGGCAAGCAAGCCTTCCTCTGAGAGCGCGAACCCCACCAGGACGTCCATGCCCTCCTTGATGTAGTCAAAGCTCGCACGGAACTTCGCCACCCGCTTGGCGGCATGGTCGATGGAGCCTGGGCCCTTGTTCGCGCGCGCAGCGCGCGTCACGGCCTCGTGCTCGGAGATGCCCTCCGACGTCGCCACGCAGTTCGAGCACACGTACAGCTTGTACTGCCCCTCTTTGCCCCTCCTCAGTTCGGGGTATTTCTCGCAGTCCTCCTTGGCCATCGCATAGCGGCGCATCTCCGCGCAACTGAGCTCGTCCACGTACTCCACCGCCATAATCTTCCAGTCGTTTAGCGCCGTGCAGCTCCGACACCAGCCCAAGCGGTGCGGCGGTACCCAATATGCGC